TATATATATATATATATATGTCATCATATACAAACATTCCAAGAATTTTAATAATTTCTTCAAACATGTATATTCAAACACGACGTCCTCGATTTTCTTTTCTAGATGTAAAAAATTAGGAGCGGACAATCTGAAGCTTTAATTAACGGATATTATAATTTGTGCAGCAATATTTTCTAATGTAACTCCCATCAAAGTGGCTGTCGCGTAAACGTTACAATATTTTAATGATGCATTAATCTCAACAAAGAATATTGCATTGTCCATTATGTTAATAAATGATACGGAAATAGTATAGCAGCGTCCGCTGTTTCGAGAGTAACGATATTAATGAGACGACACAGAGAACGCTATATGTAATACGCACCGCTAGATTTATGACTGCTTGCATGCGAGAAGAAAAAACCGGCCGCATAAAAGTATGCGTAAAATCACGCTTCGCTCGTACTTTAGTCTCGAGTATCGACTGTTCCTTGCATCATGCGCATTCATAAATTATGCAACTGGTGTACAGAAGATGCGGTTGTATGAAAAGAAGCTTCTTTTAAGAATATTATGAATTTATAACTTTCCACATTTTCAGCGTACAATCATACACAATGTGATGAAGTAACTATATCTTTTTTAATCTCTTTTTTTTTCTAATATAACATTGATAATGTTACATCAGGATTTCTTTATAAAGAAGTACCAATATTTCGAAATCGTGGTCCATGGAAAATCTCTGACATTTTTATCCAATACGTTCTATCTATTTCGGCTTTAAAAAAAGAAATCTAATTAACTTCGAAAATAAAAATACTGAGAATCAAAAAGAAAAGCTCCTCAATATTATCTAGATACAAGGAGCATCCCTATTCACGATTGACAGCTTCCCTTCCATTGAGAGAGCACGCACAGCGGTAACTTTGTTCATGGGACCCTTTGAACAGGGCCCATTCATGGCGCAGGTCACAGGAAGAGAGAGACACCCCACAGAGGGAATATGCTAATCTACACGCAAGAAGGAGGGAGAGAAGGGGGGGCGAGGGAGAATACGGTGCCAACATCTCGGACGGCGCGCGTATCACGGAACAGCTGCTGCCCTCGGATACGCGCGAGCGTATCGTAACACTGCGAGTATCGATCTCGTTGAGGCGAGGCAACAGTTTGCCTCGAAATAATGCCGATGTACGGACGCGAAAAGATTAATCTATTATTTGTACACGCGAGAGATGGACATACGCTATTATTCGACGTTCTGTTTACTTTCGAAGCGCAGCGATGATAATTCAGGAAATTGCGCCTCTCTCTCTCTCTCTCTCTCTCTCTCTCTCTCTCTCTCTCTCTCTCTCTGCGCAAAATACAAAGAAGTTTTTCGGATATAAACACAACATGAGATTTATTTAATGAAAAAACTATGTCCTTTTGACATTTACATAGAATATTAATAGGTATAATAAATAAATGCGCAATCTTTCTTTTCACGTGAATTTGTCTGTCAGTAATTTTGCGCGATATTCTTTCTTTTTTAACACAGTTTTTTATATAAATATTTTTTAATGACATCACTAATAATAATTTTGATTGGATTAAGAAGATTTAGATCATCGCCAAGATTTAACCAAGTAGCAGAATTACGAGCAAAAAATACTTTTATTATAATGAAACATCCCAAATAATTTAATGCCAAGTGAATAAGCATGCGTTATGATTCAAGTCATTTAACTTTTAGTAAGCAAACTGAAACGTACTTAATTAGAGATCTGACTCATTTCCGACCAGTTATTAAGCTATATCATTCAAATTTAAGTACGTTTTGGACAGACTAGAAACCTTTTGCGAAATAATCAATTAGTAGAAATTCGATTGTTAAAAATAATAAAACTAAAAACAAGCATTAAATTACTATTAACAATAGTAACAAATAGAAATAAAATAAGGATATATTTTTATTATGTATATACGTTTATATTTTTTAGAAATAAAGATATATTTTTCGCAATAAGGTTATTACAATAAGTTTTTTAAGATTAAATTTGAGAAATTTGGAGGAATTATTAATATTTCAGATTGATTGAAAATCCAACAACCATATCAGCATGCAAGTATAATTTCTGAAATTAATTCATTTAAATGAACATATACAATACAAGTTCAACATCTTAACATTCAGATTATAGTGGAGTTCGTAAAGTAAAAATAAAGTAAAGATATATTTGATTTATATGATAAATTAAAAAACAAATATAATTTACGTAAAATTAAAAAAAAAACGTAAAAAGACTTTCTGATTACATATGTATGTAAAAGATATTATATAAATTAGATAATAAAAAACAGAGAGAGAGGTTCGCAGAATAGAATTTAAGAATTAAGATTAATTAAAGCTGAACTTTAAAATACAAAAATCTAGCGATCTATTCGGGAATCAGGAAAGGAACGTGGGAAAATACTTCTCGTAATCAGTCTGCAGCTGACTGATGAGTGTTCGCAAATTAGCATTTGACGTCGTGAAACATCAAAGGCGAGCGTTGCAGACATCGTATTGTACCATTGTATCTGTAACCCGTTCTTGACGCATTCTTCGTACCATCTCATTTTCCAGTGGAAGAGCTATTAAATTCTCGGGTAACGAGTCCAAAATTCATCTAATTACGCACATACATGCATGAGCCGGATGAATCATTCTCATAACTGCGTGCTATAATTCTGAGTAAGTTTCCATACAATTCACATTCATCGTATTTTTTCGTACTTTCTAACTTTGTATCTCGCAATCGTTTAAATGATTTTATTCAATCCAAAGTTTTTCAAGATTGACAAATGTAAATTGGAAGCTGTTGCACGGAAAAAAAAGATTTATTAAAACAATTTATAAAAACTTCACTGATTCAGCCAGTATACAGTCATTTTTCTATTAAATTAACAAAATTATACAGCTGAATAAAATTAGCGATTACAAATAGTCACATTAGCTTGTTAATACAGCGAAGATAACTTTTTACGAAAATCAATTCAATATACAGATCAAAATTTTTAACAAAACGTGCTAGCTAAGATGGCGCATACTTTCGGTACTGTAATGAAGAAAACTTGTTACATTATCAATTTTCATTGTAGCCAAGAATTAATTGAATTAACTTATTAATACTTGTTACTTGCAGACATAATTTCTTTGTTAAACTATTAAATCTTCTTAGTTGTAGATATTAAACTCGCGCAGCAAACTATAGTTGTGCTGAATCACCCATATATTTTTTTCCTTAGTCAACTCGTTTTAATTTAATTGGTGTAATCAGGAATGGTCGATGTGTTAAGAATAAACAATACATATGGATGTAATCATGTTTCAATAATAGAATCCCCCCCTTCTCCAAATGATAATTAGCGCATGTAGCGCGAAGCACTAAGATGATTATACTTACTTCATTTGTTTCACGATCGTACTCTTGCCAGACTCGCCCGCTCCTGAAAAACAAAAGAGGGGCATTAATAATTGAGAGCGATCAAGTCTCTCACGATTGCATATCGCCGAATTACGTTGCAACATGAACTTTGCGCGTTGAACAAAGGAAAGATAAGCCTCTTACTTTCCGTTTAATTCTAAGCGTAATTTACTCGAGAATTTACTTTGAGACTCCAGAACTATCTTTAATTAGTGACATTTCGTATCAAACATTGAAAAGTTGTGTGTGCGAATAATCCCTGTTTATTAAATTATCATCAAAGAAAACTTCAATTAAAAGTCCATCAAGAATGTGTATTAAAATTTTCAGTGATAAATCTCGTATATTGACCGTATTTCTATATGTGGTGCCAGTACTGAAAATCTATGGTTCACGTTACATATACTATGGATTTTCAATATTGCCTATATCGGAATATGACTATTAACTATTAACTTTAACTGTTAACGATATTCATTGAGTTGTATAAAAAAAAAAGTAAAGACGTTCTATCGATGACATTAAATTGTAATTTTCTATCAATAATTTTATAAGAGAAATGATCTCACAAGCCTCACTAAAATCGGATCGACGAACGCATTAGGGTAAAGTCACGAGTTATCGCAAAATATGCCGTTCTATATACCGGATACGTCGACGGAACTCGCTTTTCCTGCTTACCGCAAGCCTCCGCTCTCCCACTTTTAAAAGCACTCCTAGCGTAAGTAGTCATCTATAATACTACTCAACAGTTAGAGCTGTTTAGCATCAGCTGAATACATGTGAAATCTCGAGTAAATGCGTCCTATAAACAGTGACCGAGAAGAAAGGAGTTCATCTCAAGATATCGACAATAATCCTCGTCACATTCTAGCCGAGGTAAAACATTGACGAGAGCCAAACGAGTTGCAATTTGTCTAAAACTCGCCAAAAATCATGTTCACCATTGCGACTCCTCTAACTTCTGAGTTCTATTTTACCCCGATAAAGTAATCGTTTTTAGTATCCAGTAAAATAGTAGGCGCTACGCCTCGATAAAATAGGATAAAAAAAATCCAAGCACTCTATTTTAGATAAATTATACTTAGAGATCTCCTGGTAATGCCTGTATTAAATTCTATGTTATATTGTAACTTTGCAAAATTGTACGGAAAAAACGATTTTGTTGAAGTATCTAAAAATTTAGCTAGATGCAGATCTGAAAATAATTTTAATGGACTATCAAAATAGTTACGTACGAAACATGACAAATAAATAGAAAATTCTAACAAAGTTTCTAACATAATTATTTTGATGGTCAACAAAATTATTTTCAGATCTAACTAAATTTTTAAATACCTCAACAAAACCGTTCTTTATTGTGTATGGAACGAAGAAAGTTAACATAGAATTTAATATAGGAATTATCAGAGAGTTCTCTCTCTCTCTCTCTCTCTCTCTCTCTCTCTCTCTCTCTCTCTCTCTCTCTGTCCTCTCCTCCTTCCCCCTTCTATCTCTATCTATCTATCTAAGTACTGTTTATCCAAGATTTATCTAAAACTGAAATAAAAAAAGAGGGTTTGGATTTTGTTTTATCCTATTTTACTTCGCTTCAGAAGAACCATCTTTTTTCCGTGCAGTTTGATTCATCTCCTGTACATCATATACTTTCAAGAACGCTTATTATTCATACGACTGTTTGTTATACCAATGTGGTATGATTTAGAGCCAGATCGCGTTTACTATGACGCCGCGGTAAAATTTGGCACCTGTCAGCCACATTTACTACACGTTGAAACTTTACCGAAACCCAGAATTGTAAATGATCGGTTTATCTTTCGAATCCGGTCCAGAAATGCACGTCGATACGCATTATTTCCTGCAGCTGCATTCTCATTCACCTGCTCTATCCGCGGAAATATGACGCGTTGTGAGGGCGCCTTTATCCATCGTAAGCATGATAAATGTAGGACGGAGATAATTTAGATAAATTTGAGTGCCCACTGAGTGCTGCAAGAGACAAGAAATTGTTTGCACTTCATTGACGCTATATCATCAGTTTAGTATGGAATCAACCATGCATAAGAATATTCATGAAATGTTAATACAAGAGAAAATTAATAGCAGCTTTTGTAAATTAAACATAAGTAATATTATAAAATGAAGAAAATTTTATAAATTCGCGTGTGAATACATGAATTAATATTATAAAAAAGCTATAGCTAAATTTATAAAAAGGCAGAAATATTTTATTCATATTTAATACAAATTTTATGTGCAAAATATCAGAAAGAAAAGTTCAATAAATTTCTATACGTCGAAGATCGATTGGATATTATTTTTATTCATTAGCGATTAATTATTACTAAAAATAACATAATATACAATATATTTCATTGAAGTTGCAAAATCGTATTAAAAATACATTTTTCAATAGTTTGCAAAGATATCTCTTTTAATAATAATATTTAATTTCAAAATATTTAGAAATAAAAAATTATATTATTCTTTTCAGAAACTTTATTCTTTTCGATTATATCGAAATTAAATTACAGCAAATCCTACGTAATTCTACATGCAGTTGCATTATGACTCTGAATCGAAAAATGAAATATTAATTATAATTAAATATTGAATGCAACACAGCATACAGAAAAACACTTCACCGTGGATTTATAAATTATAAACTTCAATAAATTGTATTTTATTACGTTGCTCTCCTAACATTTTGGTCGGTTTCAAACCCAAACTTTCCGTACCCTTTGCCATTTTACCAGTATATACACTCGATATACAATCAATGCTGTTTTTATAGTATGCTTAATGTTTACAAAATCTTTCATGATTTCCGAAGCAAACCGTCTATGTGAACTAGAATTCTCTCATAAATCGCTGAATATATTCGATGCAATATTTTGTATGTAAAATACTTAGAAAATCTGGAAGGATATAATGATATCTTTTTGATAATATTTTTTTCAATCTTTCTATAAATTTTCATAATTAATTGAAATCTTAGAATTAATTTAAGAACATCGAAATAAGAAAAATTGTTTAGACAAAATTTCCTTGCTTCTAAGTTCAATCTGAACACAAAAAATTCGAAAAATAGTTTGAAGAAATAATAACAAAAATGAGAAATTTTAAAAAAGACTTTGTCGTCATCACAAAACTGCAGTAAAAAGGCTATTTTCTCTTTTTTCACATATTTTTAACATTCTCTCTACCGACATGCTATACTCAGCGACAAAGAAATCTCAGTCGCTAACATTTTATGCCATAGAGCCGCCCTGCGTCACCTTGAAATACGCAATGTGCATTTGTATTTCGCAGTCGCGGCACCATTAATCGGATGAAAATACTCGCAGCCAATTTGCGCATGTACATACACGCACGTTCGTCGGCGAATGACGTCACTGGTTACACCAACAAACAGAACCCATATTTCGCTAAAAAACATATCTTCCATGGTGCTCACAAGTTGCATTTCAAGCTAACGATAGAATATGATTTTTAGGATGCACAGTATGTCCTCGAAAGTCCATCATCGTTAAAAATGAGGAATCTTCAGCGAATTAAATTTACGTAATTAAACAAGAAAATTTTATTTATCAATTGAAAGCAAAACAATTTTACACTAAGAAAAATGTCTGGTCGAAAGTGGACGAATTAGAAAATTCTGAATATATATCCAATTAGATTCTGATCTCAATTAGAATTCAGTAGATTTAACCAGAAAATTCATTTCCAACTGGAATTTTATTTTTAATAAAGAAAATTATATATAAATGTTATAATAATTTGATGATAAGAGCATCTCTAATTTTTTTAACACGCAATCTTATAAATACTTTCTGAAGATATCAAAGAATCACTTAATATTTTTTTGAACATTAATAAAAAATTAACTCGAGACATGAATGAATGGAAAATCATCTTGTGTCCTAAAGATTAAAAGGATGCAACATGAAGTATGCCCAAAAAAATAAAATCAATATTGACAATTTCATCTGATATGTTCCTATGCGAAACGGAAAGCGAGAAAAGGCGAGAAGATAAATTGAAAATGTGCGAAGCAATTAGTACACAACAGATAAACGAAGACAATACGCCGGTGCATTTTATGCCACCTCCGCACTGATTTTGCCTCTAATTATAGCGCAAGGCCGACGAAGGATTTTTCATTAAGACTTCGAATCACAGAGGTATTACTAGCACGGTAATATGTACAACAGATGATAAATGCTAACATGGCGTTCGTTTTATTAATATATCAAACAAAGACAATACAATAAAATATGAAATTTTTCGACACGACGTAAAGCGGTGTCTTCAATGGGATTTTAAGGTATAAAACTTAAGCTTTAAGCCTTAAGCCATAAAAAATTGATCAATCATAATCGATTATTCTCCTCATTTGATTATAATTAGTCAATTTCTTGCGGCTTAAGCTTAAGTTTCACGATTTAAAATCTCTCGTGGATGGCTTAAGGCCACATCGGTAACGGAGTGAGATCATGAATGAATCTTAGGTCTTGTAATTATGCCTATATATTTGTCTGTATTGTGCTTAAGTAATCATTGTATGTATGTTTTCCCTGCAGGAAGCATTCTCATGATCGTGAGAATTCATCATTAATAATTTAGGATTATATCTTAATTTCCATCTTAGGATGTCAACGGAACAAACAATTTATTCTATTGATATTCTAATCTTTAAAACGCTTGTACTATAGTGTCCGTACTTATTTATAATCACGGTTGCCAAAAAAAACTGGAAATCAGAGAAAAGTCAAGGAATTTTCTGAAAATTAAAATTCTTGGCTTTAAAAAAATTTAATATATATACATGGCACACCGTGCAATTTTGGACTACCAATTTAACAATAAAAAATGCAAGCAGTGTCAGCAACATTAATAATAATTTATATTGATATTAAGTTGATCTCTCAACAAAATATTTAATATTTATATTTATTTTTCCAAATTAGGACAAAAATATTTGTAACAAAAAATTTTTTAACATTCAAAGTCAGGGAAAATCATTTTGGAAATCAAAGAAAAGATTAGAATTTTGAGATGAGGAATTTGTGATAACTTTATATGATATTCTGAAGGAACAAAACTCATTATAAATACAATAACTCCCATACATCTACGTCAACGGAATAGTAATAGCGTAGATTTTCTTTTAAATTATAAACAGTCTGAAACATTTCTCTTCATCTAAAAAAAATTCATTAGGCGTTCTGTTTCTGATGGAATATACCAGAATAAATATGTTCCTGATGTGAGAGATGTGACTCAAGTGAACGAATATAAAATGCCACTGAAAAACCGCACGTTCCCAAATTATCTTCGTGTCGCCCGTATGCCTCTAGCTTTAAAAAAAAAGTCTGGCGATAGACTTTCCCTGTAGACTGAAATTTTCATGGCTCTCATGTTCTTCAGCCCGAGGGATGTTGACACGTGGCAAAAGTATGTGTCCTGGCAAATATCAGGTCTCCTGACAGCTTCTGTCGGAGCAGGTTCCCGACAGATATTCCAAATGCGGAGACCGGACGAAAAAAAAGAGAGAGAAGAAGAAAAAAAAATGCTACCTGATTTATTTTTCCAGCTCTGTCTCCAGTAATCTGGACGCCGTCTATTTCGGTGGAAATATTTTTGGCGCGCGAGATCCACATTGCATATCATTTATCTGTCCCTGTCATTTCGGTTTTTAAATCGAAAAGATTTCTTTCCCGACCCGGACTTGTGATTACAAGCAAATGAGATGTGCTATCGCGCGTCATCTCGCATCCCAAAGCGTTGACGTCACCGATGAAACGCCGACGTCAGATGATGATATCTGATATCGACGCCGGCAATTATGTGCCTTGAAGCGTTCTGGCGACTGAAAGAACTAACGTTGGATGAATCGGGCATTACCCTTCCGCAATAAGGAGGAACACGCTTGTTGCGCCATTCTTCCGGTTTTACGTCGTGTTCAATTTCCTGCATGCCGGTCGATTTAAAAAGCCAGCGCTTTATCCGCGAGAGGCGCTCGAACATGCGCGGGCATCGAAACGAATCGCCTTTGATCTTTTAAACCGGGATAAACTTAGAAAAGAGTCTCGAAATATTATCGCACGAATCTGAAAAATTGATACGTTTTCTCTGATTTAATTGCATGGAAAAAAAAGCAAGTTTATCTCAAAACTGGAAATCAGAGAAATCTGAGAAATGTTAGGAAAATGAAAAACAAATAAAACAATCAGGGAAATCAAGGAAATATGTTATAGAATTGCAGGATGAGAAATTTGTAACAACAATTTTGAAATATCTAAAAATTAAAATAAATAATTAAATTTAATAAAACGCTTAAATGTTAATGGCAGTACTAAAAAAAGTTTTAACATTCTAGTATTCGAAATTTGAACATCCTATATAATTATTTTGATGGTCTGAACAAAATTATTTTCAGATCTGTATATACTAAATTTTTAGATATTTTAGCAAAACCATTTTTTTCGCGTAAATAAAACATTTTGCTCTTTTTGGAAAAAAATCGCGAATCAATTTCCGGTATTATATCAAAGATAGTATAATCGCAGAATTGCGATGATTCTTGCACGCGACGAAGAACTTTGACATGATTGGTTTGTGATTTGGCACGCATTTAGAAAGTTAGATAGATCAATAAAGACTCCGGAAAAAAGAAGGAGAGAGAGAGAGAGAGAGAGAGAGAGAGAGAGAGAGAGAGAGAGAGAGAAAGCATACAATGGCGCAGCTCCTCACCAATCATAGATCCATAGCTCATGAAATATAGTATCTAACGTGAGAAGGAAACGGCGGTGTAGTTATAATATTTCGCACTGTGTCGTTGATATAATCGCAATAAATCGCCAAGTTGCGTGCATTATTTCCGACGGATAATTTCCTGATAATATTTATGCGATTTGATCAAGTCTAAGTCTTCTCATATTTCAGAACTCTCACAATCACGAGCTAAGTCTTCACGCAATTATTTTCGACTACTACATATCTAATCATATTTTGTTAGTTTTTTTTGTTAATTCCTTGCGATGTTCAAGCGAACAACATGTCAATTAAAATAGAATTTAATTGTAAAATTTTAATATAAATTGCAACAGGCATTATGCGGAAATCGATATTATAATTGCATGAAAAGAACAATGTTATCAAAATATCTAAAAATTTAAGTAATAAATTCAAAAATAATTTTATTAGAGCATTAAAATAATTACATAAAAAACTCAAACATGATGAACAATATTGCAGAAAATTTTGACAGTCTAACAATCAATTTGAGTGGCCATAATTATTTTGATAATACAACAAAATTTATTTTCATCTCTATTCAGCTAATTTTTTAGACACTTCAACGTAACTGTTCTTTCCGTGGTATCATATTTCTTCCATTCATTACAGTTTGTGTCTCAGCGCAAGTTACAACCCTGAAATGTTTTACAGCCCTTCTGCCTTTTATAGTTATTGTTCTAATACTGGTATCCACATTCATGTTGTATACAAATCACCAGATCCAAATCAAATAACTACTTGTTTATCTCTTCTGCTTGACCTGTTTCCGCATAATGTATGATAACGTTATATTCATAGTTAATTTTAATTTAAATAAAACTCTATAAAATTAGATACAAAAAAAGAAGTACTTGATAAAAAAATTAAAAAATTCATAATCATTCAATTAGCATATATTTTTTATTTTATTCTGAGAAATATAGATGGGAATCTGATAGATTTTCAAGAGATTACGTAGAAATTTAGACTCAAATTAACAAAGCATCTATTTTTATATAAATTTTATATCCTCTAATTTTATTCCGATTTTACATTGAATTCATGTTAAATAAAATGAGTAAAAATTTTGGATGTTAATTGTGTCTTTTTTCAAATTACTCAAGCTCGAAAATAGCGCATAAGAATATGTCTACATCTACGATTTCTTGTTATAAAATTTTAACGAGCATACATATCGCGTTTATTCTCGCCAGATTGCTAGACATATACTTCAAGATGAATAAAGAATAGGGATGTTTCGATCCAAAAGATCGACCTTCTTTCAAATGACATTAGTAATTTTAAACTGATCTATTTTGCGAAAAATTGATTTTTCTAACTAAAAAAGGCTGTTTTAAATCAATCTCTTTATAAATTTCTTTTTTTTTTTAACAAAGAGGATTATTTCGAAGCATTATTTTTACAAAAAATCGATTTTTAGTGAATCTGGAAATCGCACATCCCTAATAAAGAATAAGACATACCAAGCAACAGGAGTTTAATGTCCTTGGCCGCCTGGATACCATCCTCCTTGAGATTTTTTTCGATCTGCTTGCTGCGAGCCAGAGCGGCTCGCTCTTCCGCGGACATGGCACAGCCCATCTTGCTACACGTTGCCTTTACAAATGCCACCCTCACGCTCTTCCTCTCTCACCAGCAGCTGCTAAACAGCGCGGCCAGATAACGGCCCCGTCGCCACGAAGAGGGTGAAACGACCTCCGGGCGGAACTTCTCCTCCACCACCACCACCTCTCTACCTCTTTAATTCCGTTCTCCTCGTCGCACTTGGCACTTTCCGCGGCAGCGACTGTCGCCGTCGTCACCACAGCAGCCGATACCAGCACCGCCACCACAACCACCGTAAACACTTTCGCCACCGATACCACTAACACCACTATCGTCACTGGCACTGCCTCCTTCACCGGGTTCACCGTCTCCTCCGCCGCCGCCTCCTCCTCCTCCTCCGCCACCACCACCGCCGTCCTCCTCCTCGTCCTCGTCTTCGTCGTCTTCGTCTTCGTAGTCACCGATGGCAACCTTACTGGCAGCAACCGGCACCGAGTGGTCCTCTAACTACCTGGGCGACCGCAGCCACCCGTACGCGACTCTAACGACCGCCACACTTGCGTCGATTTAACCGCGCGATTCAGCAGCGCCTGCAAGCAGAAAGGAAATAATCAGATAAATCCTGCCTAAGAATCTTAAGATGTTATAAAACTTGTCGATTGCTCAACAAATGTAACAATCTATCACTTGTATAAGTAACGTGTGCTGTGGTGTAAATTTATATGAACTTTCTAAAAGCGGTGCAATCAATCAAAAATCACCCCTAAATGCCAGATTTTCATTTTTCTAGAAGGTCTGTTCGCGTTGCTTGAAGTCCTCACAAATTTTTGCATTTAAAATGAGATAAATACATATTTGGGCATTGAAGAGAGAGAAAACAAATATGCTGAGTGCAAAGAATGTAAGCAATGCAAACAGACTTAAGATTGTTATATGTTAGTTAGATTTAAGGATAAAAGGCATTATTTATTACTGCGCATCTTCGAAAATACAATACCTTGTCTAATTCCGTCTTTATCTAAGCTTTAAGCTATGAGAAATCAATCATAATCGATTATTCTTATCATATTCTACTGTGATCCTTTAATTTCTTTCGACTTAAAACTTAACTTAGGTAATGGCATATTGTAGAAATTCCAATCGATATATAATAAACTTTTAAGTAATTTGCTTTGACATTAAAAAAATTAAATTTTCCAATTAAATTTTGCAAACATATTTTCTGGTTATCGAATCAAATCAGATCGGAAAAATAACAAATAATAAGGAAAGAGACAATACGGTCGAGGTTACATTTTGGTATCTTAATAATTTTTATATGTAAAAATTTATACATGTAAATAATATTTTTATGTTATGTTTAAATATATTTTTTTTTTTTTTTAATTATGTGAACTGTATGTCTCTTATTCTCAAACTTGAAATGCAATAATCATAAACTGAAGCTGAAATAATAATATCAAAATTAAATTGGTTATCGATCAATTTAATAATGAAAAATGGATCAGTATATTATTACTGATTTCAGTGCTATAATACACTTATAATTGATATAATTATCAGCAAATATATTTATTGTTTTTTTTAATAAAAACATATTGATTCACTTTTAGAGATTATAATTTCTGCAGATTGAAATGCAGTTTAATCTGCAGAGAATCATAACCTCTAAAAATGAGTATATTATTACTGAATCAGTATATTATTACTGAAAAATAATAAGTATTCTACATTTATAACTGATGATTACATCAGTTATAAATGTAGCATTGAAGTCGCTGATTCACCTTTAGAGAATACATACATAAAAATATTATTAAGCATCGAGAACTTCGATCGTATTGGCTTTTTCCTTAGTAATTTGATTTATTTATATAGTCTGGTTAACTTATTATTGGAAAAATAACAATTGATTCCACATTGCATGTTGTTACATGCAACTTATTAAACGAGTAATCAGTTATAAAACTTAGTCTTGGGATTAGATTATAGATATCGATACTAAGCCTTTTTTTTGGCTGAACTTTTGCACCAGTTTATCTTTCTTTCCCTTTTTTCCTCCTGGAGAGCAAAAGTTCAGCCAAAAAGAACAGATTTATTGTTTAGCCAATCCTCACTTCACTGAACGAATAATGCCTAGAGATACGAAGAAGAGATGAACAACACTCGTTTTCGCTTTTGTAGCGACAAGTATACCTACGATCGCGACTTGGCAGATCGCCTGTGTTTGATATGCTAAAAGGTTCTCAACCAATCGCCGCTGATAACGTCGTTTGTTCATCGTATCTCGTTATTATTCCTCAGCGCGAGCCGGGTAATAATTTTATTAGGCTGGCGTATCGTAATCGCTCAATTTAAGACCTTGTCTCTGAGTATGAATCTGATCTAATGTCATTAGCCATAGTGAATGAAAGATTGAATTTCGCAATAATAAAAGAGAAAATGAATCAATAAAAATATATCCAATAAATAAATTTTGGATCGTCAACGTTTTTATATTGTTAAGTAAAACGTCTTGCAGTTAACTCAAGATGATAAAAGAAGATCTAAAAATATAACATAGTTGACGAATTCCAGAGAAAAATGCTATTTCATGTAATTTTATTCAGCTTGTAAATAATTAATGGAATAATTTGATTAGACGTGATAGTAGACTAAGTTTATGTTTAGTCAGCCTAGTTTAGCGCAACTTACAAAAGAATGTTGTTGTGTGGAAATGACGAATTATAATGAAATAGAAATCAAATTGTGGGCCTTAACAAGTTATTTAAGAAAACTCAATCTAAGTTTTCTCTCCTAGTTACTAAAAACAAATCTAACTTAACCGAAGTGAAAAGATAGCAATGTTAAATTAGATTCTCGATTTAACTATAATTAGATTCCAGCGATCGCTTGGCAGTTTAATAAAAATTTCTCTCTTACTTTAATTTTTAATAATAAAGATGATTTAAATTAAATTTTCGGACATCAAAATTATCTTTGAAAATCTTAATCTTAAAAATAAAATATACACGTCAATAAATACTAATAATAATAAATTGAAATTATAAATTTCTTTTTGTGTGCACGCGCAAATATTTCGATAACGTCGGAGACATTAAAATATCGATGACAATAATCGTGCAAAGTATAACAAAAGTTCAAATTGCTATAAAACTGCAGCACTATTGCACGTTTGAAAAACAATGCAATCTAATGTTCTATCAGTATAGAAACTTTAATCTCTTTAACTTATTTTTCAACTTTTTCTATGTAGTTCTAAGAGTTAGAAAAAAAATATGAAGAGTAAATTAATTCGAGATTGAAATTAATCTTCTTTGGAAGAAATAAGCCTAAGAAATTATTTCATCGCCGTCGCAATCTAGATGTATAAATTCACTAATTATAAGATCGATATCTACTTTTCGTTTGGAAATATATACTTATTTTAAAAGTATCATATCTCTACAAACAATTCTAATAACAATTCTAATAAAAATTTATTTTTTGCCGGCTCCAGGGCGCTTAGTATGTATATCGAAGCTCTTCGTATATCGAAATCGTTCCGTTTGCAACAGCTGAATTTTTAATTAGTGGGAAATCCAGTCGCGAACTGGGAATGTCCATGGTTTATTCGTTTGTCGGATTGCACGTACACATCTTCGTAAGCACGGCATTACGTGGAAACACACCGGCGTATACGATCAATAAAATGCAACGACCTGATATAATGGAAGCGATACGCGTCGCGCTTCATAAAATACCATCGCATAGTCAGGCTAAAATATGTTAAGGAGACGTAATGCGCAAAAAAAAAGTCGGACGAAAGTCGGCGAATTGTAGTCCCTTCGAATTTATCGAGCTTCTCATCGATGAGTTTATCTCTCGGTCCTCTCCTTCATTCGCACTTATATATAGAAAGACATTTATTGTACGCAAGTAATAATTACTTGTTTGAAGTATTTAAAAAATTTGTATATCCGCAAATTCTATTATAAGTTCATCATAAGCATCAAATTTATTCTAAATATATTTTGAATTCTAGTAAATTTAATACATCTCAGTTAGATTATTAAAACAAATTTGATTTGCTATTATATATAAAGTTACTTCTTCGATTAATTTTATAATACTCTTTAAAAGAAAAATAAATTCTTGTTTTGAGTACATAATAATGAGTTCTGAAATTTATAATAAGTATATTTTAAGATTATTATAAAAAAATATTCTTTATTGAAGTAACCGTTTCTTAAAGGAAAAAAATAAATTGATGATCACTTTCTTAACAGTAAAATGATAATGATATTTTTCTGTGTGTACCTCTCTTCTCCTCAAAAATAATTAATTAATGTGCAACACGGAAAGGAATATCTTATAATACTCGAAATGAGTTTATTTTATCCAAATAGGTGTCATTTGTCACTAATTATCCAGTGGCATATTTGGATAATCAGTGAAGTTCAATTAAAAAAGGAAGAATATTTGAGCATTATATATAATTAAAATATTGATATTTGCACGTTAATTTCAATTTTCCAATACCATTCATTGAATTTAAGCACTAAAACAAGGTTAGTTACATCACATAATAAAGATTAGCTAAGTTAGGGATCTCACATTTAATTCACTGATTACAAGTGGCATACTTAATATCAGTGATTATCCACTGATTCAGATTTAGAGAGTATGAATGTATTTTCTTTTGCACAAGATATGCTGATCATTATTTAATCTAAAAGATTGCTTAATTCAGGAGAATTAATTACGTAGTAAATTTCATTTTCATACAGAATATTTTGATTCTTTATCGCTCACATGACTTTTTTCGCGGCGTGAGAGAAGTAGCGCGCAGTAATTTTATGCGGCAGGAGAGAAAGAATCCGAATCCTCTCTCTCAAGCAACTGCATAAGTCATTTAATGCATACTTGAATATCTGAACATATTTCACATTTCTTTTTCATATAATTTCAGAGAATATTTAACAACTCTAATGCCGTAATGTGTGTCTAAATTGAAGATATCATAAAATTGAATCTTTTAATAATTAATCTATATATTATAGAAAGATATCCAATTTATAATTTATTATTTACATTATAAAACCGTGCTTAATTACACTGTTTTTCAAATAATAGCTAATATTGGATCTCCGATTGTATCAATTATCAGAAAATAAAAGCAGGATATTATATTTATTATTATTATAAATTTTGAAAATGTCTCTAATGACTTTTATAAAGTAAATGAAATTTTTCTGATAATGTTGCCACGGTTATTTTCGATATCCGAACGATTTAAATGCAGTAACGATACGGCGTGAAAACCTTTTATTGATTATGGTCACGCGATGGATATTCCAGATTGTATCTGAAATTTAAAACTAATAAAAGATACAAACGAATACTTGATCTCGCGTCAGGTACGTCAAAAAAAGATTAAAATACAAATGTACAAGAATTATTGCTGTCGAGACTTTATCGAGAAATTACATTTCCTTTTTATATTCCGGAGACTAGAAATATCCCTCCTCCGTGACTTTAACGAAAACATTGACCCACGTGTATCAAGCATATTGCAATTTTATCGCGTGTCATGAACGATGCTCGTTAGTACATTTTGCGTAGCGCGAGAAGACCTAATTGAGATTGCATAAAACAAAAATTATTTATGCCTATTTCTAACAATGTAGTTTAATTTTAATCTTGGTTCAACTAACTCTTACTTTTTTCTAATTTTTAAAAATGCCCGTTTTTAACTTAGATTAACTTTAATCTTGATTTAACTTAATTTTTATCTCTTTCTAGTTCCAAGAATGAAAGAAAAGAATAAAGAATAAATTTAATTGAGATTAATCTTGGTTAGAAACGAGCACTAATCGTTTTTTTCTATGAGCATTAGTCGTTTTTTTTTTACTCTGTTCTTATCGCTATTTTTCGTGGAAGAAAATACGATAGTCAATCGTAAATAAGAGATAAATAATATAATAATTAAGACAGCAATATATTTGAATCTTTAAAAAGCACAAAAATTATCCTTGAAAAGTCATAATTACTCCCTTAAGTGATCTGGAGATCTAATCGAGTCATCTGAGCAAATGACGGATCGATTTCTAGGACTGTCCCCTTTAAGATACGAACATCAAATAATACTAAACAAATCAAACTAAATAATTTCTTTAAGTCTTTATTAAGCTATTATTATACATTAAACTATCTTATATCCGTTTCTACAATATAGATTAACTTTAATTTCGATTCGATTCACTCGTCACTTTTTTCTAATTCTTAAAACTGAAAAAAGGTGAAGAATTAACATAAACCGGGATTATAAAATTGCATTGAGATAGAAACGGGCATTAGAATAAGTTTTTCGAAATGCATCGATGCAGACTTGTAAATACAAATGTACATCGTGCAATCGTATAATTAGAATCGCCATTGTACACATCTACTGCCCTGAGCATTTAATCTTTGCGACAAAAACACGAGAAAAAAAATTAAACGTATAAAAAGATTATATATGACTCGATTAACTCTCCAACTATTATCCTTCCTTATCGAACTCTTATCGTAAAACAAGTACATTTTACATTTTCGGCAGGAACCTTATAGATATATATATTTTTTTTTTCAATTTCCAACCCCTATATTTCCGGAACAGAATCGTAGTAGTTAACGGGGATGTGAATCGAGCGTTAGTGCAGCAGAGTCGCGCGAAGAAGGGAACCAACCCCCGCCCTCTCCCTCTTTCTCTTTCAACCTCTCGTTCCCTTTTTCTCTCCCTCTCTCGAAGCAGCTCGCCAGGGGTAGCTCTCGACGGTGTCATCGCGAGCGCACGCACAAAACGGGTGCTCTCCCCGCTGATCCGTCGATACGAATCGAACGCGTATATATACGCACCTCCTTTCGCGTATCCTGGAGTGACGTCGGGATTCTCTCTCTCTCTCTTCTTCTCTCCAGACCACTGACACTCTCGATTTCTCTCTCTCTCTCTCTCTCTCTCTCTCTCTCTCTCTCTCTCTCCCTCCCTCCTGTTCTTCCCGGAATAGTTTTTCACTCGGTTCGAGCTATTTGATCGATATTCCGGGAGAACGGTCGTTTCCGGCAGGAGCACAGTCGGTGGTCCTGCTCAACCCGACCGAGATCCGGGAGGAGGAGCAGTTTAGGCGAGGCTCGACTCGCGCACGCGAGAGAGAGAGAGAGGAATTTCTCGCCTCAGCAGTGACAACGACGACGACGACGACAACGACGACGACGACGACGATGCTGACAGCGAGCACTCACGGCGCGAGACTCGAGAGC